GTTGTGTAAGTATTCAAACAATAATTTAATATTGAATGGTTGATATTATACAGGAACGTAGTGAAAAGAGTGTATCGAGTTTTGCGTTTGTACACAAATCTTGGTTTTGATTGGGTATAGTAACCTGATGACATAATATTCTACAATTACGTATTGATTCTCATGACATAATGATCTACTTTCTTGATCGATTCTCATGACATAATGATCTACTTGATTGATTCTCATGACATATGGTCTATATTCTTGTTAATTAGCTGCCCTATAAAAAGGATTGTATAATATATATTTGTATAGTTTTGTTTTAGATGTGTGAAAAATGTCTAAAAAAAAATGCCATTCTGCCTATTCAACACGTACAAATTTTACACAATTCTTTTTATAGGGCTGTCCGAAAGCAGAGCTATAATACACCCGATGCCTGTGTTAACAAGTTCTGAATTTTGTGTTTGTAACTTAGATTATTATCTTAATTTTTAATGTGTTGAGTTTACTTTATTAAAAAAGTATAAAGTTTCCATTTTATATTCTATTATAAATAATTGGTATTACACTGATCATATTTAATTATTAGTTGGAACGGGGTTGCAGACCACTATTTTTATTTACAATACTGAAAACCTTTTATTTAGGTTCGATTTATTCATATCGATTTAGTGATCTATATATTTCTAAAATTGCTCTACACGATTTACAAACTAAGTCAGTTGATGAAATCATAATGCGAAACTCTCTATATTGTAACAAAATAAATGAAGTTTTCAAGATTAGGTCGTAATGTTAAACCTAATCAAAAGCTTTATGATACATATAATATAAGAATTAGCATATATAATTATAAATATCGTTGTCTAGGATTTTAGTGAAAACATTTACCTTATAATGATAAAAGTATCTTATATGTAAAAATATATACCGATCATTGCTGAAATAAAAAAAATCATTTGGCAAATTTTTATTAGAATTTATGAAAACAACTGTAATCATATTTTTGTTTTTTACCCGATTGGAAATGTCAGGAGGCGATTTTCAAGGCAAAGATCCCATATGGTAACTCTAAGCAACAGGAAAAAATAATAGGAAATTAATAGGAAAAACTAATAAGAGGCAAGGAATGTCGAGTCGATTATGTTCATCATAATAACTTTATTCTGATTTTAACTCTTAAATGTTTACATTTTAACTCTTAAATGTTTGCATTTTAACTCTTAAATATTTACTTTATATTGTTAGGCTATAGTCCGAAATAAATTAGCTGTGTAAGTGATGATAATCATCCCTAGTACGATGACATTTTTACAGCAATATTTAAGATCAAATATTATTACCGTTCTCTAATTTTTTCAATTTATATGAATTTATTAACAGCTTATTTGAATTTATTTAACATTTTATTACCATTTTATCGTCATTTTTATTATTATCATCCTTATAATAATTTTACATAGTAATTATGAAATGCATTTATATTTTAATAAATTTATTTTTATTAATATTTATTTTTATATTACAAAGTTATTCGATAATTCATCATCCTTTAGCAATATTATGGGACGTAGGATATTATGGTGCAATTGAATTATTAGAATTAGAAAAGAATTTAACAATGGTGGATGACATTTTAAGACCATTACTTGATAAATATAATTCAAGTTTCGGAGGAACATACATAAATGTAAAAGAAAGACGTATAACTATCAACACTATAGATCCAGAAAAAATTGATGATATAAAACGTCAAATGGAAAAATATGAACATTTCTTATATTTTAAAAACTTGAGTGATGGTAAATCTATAGAATATTTGAGAACTTCATTTTTTCAGATAAAAGAACGAGCCAAAGAATATCTACCACCTCACACTTATATTTACACAGATATTGAAGTTAATAATGTAATTGTATTAGTAGAAAATAACAATAGAAATAAAGAATTTATAGATTCTATCCAACAATATAACCCGATTATACTTGATCCAAGAGAACCACCTGATCCACTGATTTCTAAACGCCAAGATAAAGTTGATAGTAAATTTGACGCGCGCGATATAGAATTCAAGGTCTTGAATGGAGATGGTCTATATAATAAAGACAAAAGATCATTTTGTTCTGCGGGATTTTGAGCAAGAAATGCATCAAATCCAAATATGAATTACATTGTAACTGCGGGACATTGTTTTACTAATAATTCACATTCAAATAGTTTTTTTCATAAACCGTGGAATAAGCAACCAGGTGTTAAATTAAATTTTATTGGGAAAGCAGCATTTACCAGTAAAACACCATATGATTTTGGCTTAATTCATATAACAGGTAAAGTTGTACCATCATTGGTGATAACAAATTCAGATTATGAACTATTTCCCGAAATACCTATAAATGGTTTTATAAATGTATTTAGCCATGGTATTCATTTATATAATTCTGGTTACACTACTCACCTTTCTTGTGGATTTATCAAAGGATTCGATGGGATTTTTATAGATAGAGATGGTATTTTAACAGAAAAATTAATCACAATAAATATTAAAATTAATAAGCACGGAGGAGGTAACAGTGGAGGGCCCCTATTTAATTATATAGATTTATTTTCAGTAAATATAGTTGGTATATACGTTGGAGATAACAAAAATCATAGCCTTGTTAGTACTCAACCAATAGAACTTATTCTTAGTACTGCTAGACTAGTTTTTGTCGACCCAGGGGAAGGGAGCGGAACGAAAGGAGGGTGAAACCTGTAATCCTTTTAATGAGATATACCTTTGTTTTAGACTATTGTTATTTCCTGTAAAAATCTTAACCAGAAATTTGATCATTAAAAAATTATTAAAAAATAATATCGATAAAAAAAGTCTACTGATTAATAAAAGTATACTATACAATCGTTTTGAAGTCATCTAAAATGCAAAAGGCATACAAGAATTCATATATATGAACAACAAAGCGCCAAAAAATGTAAAATGAAATTGCTTGTAAACATTCATGAAGTTGAATCTATTATTTTAAATTCTTAAATCAATAGACGCTTTTTATGCTTATCTCCAAATTTAATGAGAATAAAATAGTAAATATTCATGAAATTTGAATCGCTTATTTTATTACTTTTATATTCCTAAATCATCATTATTTTCAAAATTCTGTGTCGCTACACGATTAGCACTTAATTGTTAACGATTGCAGAATAGATTTTCATAATTTTGGAGATACTGGGACATGCGTATCCTAAAAAATGAAAATCGATTTCACAATTATTGCATGAGCTAATTGCGTAGAGATACAAAACTTTGAAAACAAATAAAATTTGATTAATATAATTATGTGTAAAATACAGTAGTAATTAGAGATGGGCATTATGTGCATTACATTATGCAAAACACAATGTCGCATAATGTAATGTAGACATTTCAAAATTTAAAAGTGCTCATAGAAATTACTATATAATTTTAATGCAACAAAAATTAATAAAATATTCATATGTAATACTAAGTGATATGTACAGTACATCAGTTAGTGATTTCGTACCAGGGCTTAAAATACTATACGTAGTACGTACGTACGTACTAGGGTAGGGATGCATCGGTCCTGAAAAAGACCGGTTCAGGACCGGGACCGATAATAGGGATGTTAAATTGCGAATCCAGTCCGGTCCGATCCTAGGATCTAAAAAGACGGTCCTGGATTCGGTCTTGAAA